AAAAAAATTACTTTGTACTTTAAGCATGTTTGATATCATTTAACAGTTAAAGGCAATTGTGATGTTGTATCAAAAGTAAATAGTCATATTGCATATTTTCCCCTCATTCCATACTTTGCCATTCTTAGTTAATATGTTGGCGTTTGTTGTGTACTACTCCCTTATTCTCTACTTTCCCTTTTCTTATCATAAATAAGTTCAGGAAAAGTATACCGTATGTAATGGCAACTTTTCCATAATTTGTTTACCTTCGGTTTGTCTAGTATATAACATGAATATGCTGTTTATATCACTGATATAAACATCCCTGAACCGATTTGGAATCACTTAGAGTGCGTTCGAACTCGGGCCCTAGATTCTGTACGGAGTCACCCAAAACCTAGGGTCCTTGTTACTGTCCCTAAAAAATGGCCTAGTTGGACTTCTGACACAGCCAATTCTCTATGGACTTGAGCGCCTGCTGAGTCCAAACCCATGTCTACATTTTCAAATATTAATTTTTATACTGATCCCCGTTGCTATATGTTATTGCAAAGAGATGGTAGAGACCAGCATGCTACATACAAAACAACCAAGAGTGTGGTACCATAAATTTTTCATGTCCAAAGGACAATGAGCGTGGAAAGCAAACGCACCATGATTTTATAAAAAGGGCAAAGAAAAAGTTAGTGCGTTTTTCACGTAATTTGTCCGAGAATGGTTTGATAGGGCTGCATCTTTATCGTATTGTACTGTGTCACCTCATAACTCATCAAAAATTGCAATGCAAGTGTGGAACAACCTTTAAATCGATCATCTCAACATGAACATTATGGTTGTGCAAAAAAATTAGGATTTTAAAATCTAAAAATAGTGTATATAGCAACAAATAATCTTGACCATCCAATTCGTCCAAAAAATAAATGCTTACAAATCCACAAGATCTGAATCAATTTTTGAGTTTTAAGTTTTATTGCCGGTGTTGAAATTAATTTTAGAGAATTTTTGAGTTTCAAATTTTGTTGTCAGTGTTGAAAATTAATTTTAGAGCCATCATAAAGATTCCTAATGCCGAAAGTGCCTTTTGGATGAGCATTTGAGTTGAGGCTTTATTTTGTTTTCGCCCTATCGAAACTTCATCCTAACTTTTGTTATTCGGCGTACTTCTCTTCTTTTTTTTTCCCCTTACTTTTCAAATCCTCTTTTTCTTTTTACCCATTGGTGAAGAACAAACAAAACATCATATCACCCAAAAAAAAAAAAAGACCCCCAAATTTCTATTGGTCATTATAACTAACCATTACGTCGCTAGCTAATCAAATTATGCTGATAAAATAAACTTATCAAATTCCTTTTATTTTTTCTTTTTCCCCATAGGTGAAGAACAAACGAACCATCATACCACCAAAAACAAACAAAAAAAAAAGTCCCCCCAAATTTCTATCGGTCATGATAGCTTACCATTATGTCGCTAACGAATCAAATTATGCTCATAAAATAAAATTATACTATCAACTAAAAGAAATGAACATGAAATTAAGTCCTATACCTTCTTAGCAATTCCTGTAGCTGGCCCAAATAGAACTCATTATAAGGCAAGTCGCGCCCATAAGTGTGCTCGTGCCGATCCCATGGCGAGAGGTACAAGCCCACATCCAAGCCCTGGGCTCGAGCCGAGTCCACAAAGTCATGGACCACATCCCCTGTTCCATTCTTCCATGGACTGAATTTCACAGAGTGATCTGTGTATTTTGAGGGCCATAAGCAGAAGCCATCATGGTGCTTAGCGGTGAGTATGACGAGAGAGAAGCCCGAGTCCTTGGCTACTCGAGCCCATTGGCTTGTGTCGAGAGAGGTTGGTGCGAAGGTGGTCGGGCTTTCGTGCCCTGTTCCCCACTCTGAGTCTGTGAAGGTGTTCATGCCAAAGTGCATGAACATTATGAGCTCTCTCTGTTGCCATTTGAGTTGGGCTGAATTGGGAAGTGGGAGGAGAGGTAAAGGGGGTGGCAATGGGTGGCTATTGGAGACTTGGAAA